CACTTTTCCTAGTATATCCTAGTAAATCTCAAAGAACATCAAAGATACTGGTGGGGCTGCCACCACTACCACCCGCCTCCCAAATCAGGGCTCCTTGACCTTGAGAGGGCCTGAGATTCGGATGCTTTACAGACGGACTGGGAATTTATGCTTTAAGGAAATGTCCCAGTGAATTCTGAATTGACTCCTTACAGTTCAACCTGTCCTGTCTCCCCAGCATCAACAGCTCTATTTAGTGGAAGAAGACTTGCTTTTCTCATAGAGCAATAAAGATCAGTATCTTAGAACTGACACATGGGTGGCACTCTCCAGTTTACAAACCCCTACATATTTATGTGCGTGTCAACAAGTATCACCTGAATGCCCACAACATGCCTACCCTTATACTAGACCCTGATAAGACCATAATTTGTCCTTAAAAACGCCCCCCCATAACACTTAAATAAGACAGATACTAAAGAGAAAAGGAATGTTTGGTGATAAAATGAACAAATAATTGTCTCCAGTTAGTGAACCAGGATGTAGAAATTGAAAGAATTTACTTTTCACAGTAAGAACTGGGATATGAAACCCACAACTCATTTACTCCAGATGTCATTTTTCAGGTCAGGTAATTTTGGAAGTGCACCGAAAAAGATCTTCTTTCCGCATTCCTTCCTATCAATTACAAGGCTCCTATTAGTGATTAATTCCTTCATGTAATTAAGTTTTGCTTTTGAAACACATATACTCTAGAGAGTAGAATCCCTGCCAATCATTCACATGTAAGTGCAAATGAATTTACTTAGTTACTTTCCTTCTAACAGTTAGCTGGTAATGTAGGAGTGAGACTTCACATGTCTGGGCCAGAGGAGACATTTTAAACCCTCAGTTAATGCTGAGAATGGAGGAGAGACCAAGAGGCATCTGCAGAACTTCCCTCTGACCCACACTGGAGCTGTGCCTAGTGGTGTTTTTGGAACAATCATTTTGATACTACTACCTAATCCAAATGGCATTTAAAACATTATCTTTATTCATATTTGTCTTGATAAGTTCTAATTTGGGGAAATGGCATGCTCTAAAGGTGTATTTGGTACAACTGCTTGAGAACAGTATTTGACTGTTTCCTATAAAGTTAATAGTGCACTTATTTTAAATCCCAGAAATTTCTCTCACAGGTGTATCTCCAAAAGAAATGAAAAAAAAAAAACAACAGATTTTTTTACAGAAATGGTCAGAGCATCTTTATCTATAATAATCATAAGCTGGGAGCTACTCAGATGCCATCAACAGATGAATAAAGAAAACAAACTCATGTTCACATCAAGGGAGACTATTCAACAACATGAAGAACAAACTATTGAATGTGTTACTTGGCAATGTGGATTAATCTCAAAAATATTGAGAGAAAAAGGTCTATGCAAAAGGGTTCCTACTATATGATCCCATTTACATGAAGATCAAGAAGGGTAAAACTCGCCAGGTGTGGTGGTGCACACCTATAATCCCAGCAGCTTGGGAGGCTGAAGCAAGAAGATCATGAGTTCAAAGCCAGACTCAGCAAAAGCAAGGCACTATGCAACTCAGTGAAACCCTGTCTCTAAATAATACAAAATAGGGCTGGGGGTGTGGTTCAGTGGTCGAGTGCCCCTGAGTTCAATCCCCAGAAGGCCCCCTCCCCATCAAAAAAAAGGGGGGGTAAAAATTAAGCCAGGAGTGGTGGTGCATGCTTGTTATCCCAGTGACTTGGGAGGCTGAGGCAGGAGGATCATAAGTTCAAAGTCAGCCCCAGCAACTTAGGGAGACCTGTCTCAAAATAAGAAATAAGAAGAGCTGAAGATATGGCTCAGTGGTTCAGTGCCCTTGGGTTCAACCTCTGGTACAAAAAAAAAAAAAAAGGCGTGTGTGTTAATCTGTGATGAGAAAAATTGCCACAGTGGTTGTTTTTTAAAATTTTGTATTTGCTATTTTTAATTATACATGACAGTAGAATGTGTTTTGACATATTATACATACATGGAATATGACTTTCATTTCTTGTGGTTGTACATGATCATATTCTCATATATAAAATAGGAAAGTTATATCCAATTCATTCAACTATCTTTCCTATTCCCATCCTCCCTCCCTTCCTTTCCTTCCCTTTTTCTAATCTAAAGAACTTCTATTTTTCCTACCCCATTATAGCGTCACAAAGTCTTATCCTCTATCACCTGGGAATGATGTCAACTCAATCAAATTTCCACCTGGAACAACACTGTAAAATTAACCAACTCAGTATTTGCCTTCACATAATTTTTTTTATGGAAAGAGAAAAGGGAAGAAAAAACAATTGTTTGTCATATATACACACACACACAAATATATATATATATATATTTTTTTTTTCTCCTTCTATTCTGTGAGTATCTTAGCCTACATGGGTTTGTATGTTTGCTTTTTAACTGATGAGAGAAACCAAACTTTTATTCCTACCAATGCCCTGTCTTTACTAGTTTGCCATGGCTTCTTACTGGATGTGGGAGTCCCCTTAGATCTAGATATAATCACCCATGCTCCATTATGGAGAATTAACCCCGCTCCCCCTTGGTCGTCAGGATCAATCATCCCAATCAGCAGAATAATCTTGTCTACCTGTTGGTTTTTTTTTTTTCAATTTTTTATTTTTTTTATTGGTTGTTCACAACATTACAAAGCTCTTGACATATCATATTTCATACATTAGATTGAAGTGGGTTATGAACTCCCAATTTTACCCCAAATGCAGATTGCAGAATCACGTCGGTTACACATCCACAATTTTACATAATGCCCAATTAGTAATTGTTGTATTCTGCTACCTTTCCTATCCCCTACTATCCCCCCTCCCCTCCCCTCCCATCTTCTCTCTCTACCCCATCTACTGTAATTCATTACTCTCCTTGTTTATTTTCCCATTCCCCTCACAACCTCTTATATGTAATTTTGTATAGCAATGAGGGTCTCCCTTCATTTCCATGCAATTTCCCTTTACTCTTCCTTTCCCTCCCATCTCATGACTCTGTTTAATGTTAGTCTTTTCTTCCTGCTCTTCCTCCTTGCTCTGTTCATAGTTGCTCTACCTGTTGGTTTTTAAATATGAGGATACATGTGGGCTGGGGTTGTAGCTCAGCTGGAGAGCACTTGCCTAGCATGTGTGAGGCACTGGGTTCAATTCTCAGCACTGCATGTGAATAAAATAAAGGTCCATCAACCACTACAAAAATATAAAATAAATAAATATGAGGATACAAGATCACCTGAGAGCAGTATCAGCTTCCTATGTTTGGGAACATGCCTGTATGTTATGCCAATGGAAATATTTCCACGTCTCCCAACTCATCAGTCTAAGGGTTGCAGGGATGTCATGTAAAACTTTGATAGATGGATTATTATATGTAATAGCAGAAAAGTCATTCCCACTTTCACCTTGGTTCTTAGACCAGTATGTTCTGTCTTATAAATTACACCACATATTAGCTGCTGGCATAAGGCCTATATTTTATGCTGGGTGACTGTCCCCAAATGACCAGAGTGATTTCTTATAGTTCCTTTCTTGACTGCACCTCCACCTTCCAATCCAGCCACCTGTTTCTGGGTAAAACTCATGGGATAAGACAATTGCCTCACTGTATCTTCTGCAAAATTTGTTACTTGGTGTGATGTGTGATACCATGGCAATAGATGAGACATTCTGAGTCCACATGTAGGAGCAGGGCAGGCAGGAAGGCAAAATCATACATAGAATAAGAATCCATCCAATGAAACAAACAACTGTGGCTTCTGTAAAGAAAGGGACCCAGTGGAAACAACCTTTGTCAACAGAAGAGAACAGCTAGGGAATAATGTCCTTTAGGGACTCATGGTGTCCTGCACTGTTGGCACAGTGAGGGTAATCAGGTTAAATCTGGAGAGAAATCTGTGGTACTATACCCCTGCACAGCTTCCGTCCCTGCCACCATGGCCCCCACATACATGATTCTATTACACAGGCACTGATAGAGCTGGAGAAAGAGGCACCGACCATCGGAGCCCAATTGATTATGAGAGCATCCTCTCCGTCAAATGTCTGGTGGGTGTGGGCTACACATACATTCACAGACTGTGCCCATTCCAAAAGGCCCATGTTGACATCCTTGATGCCAGTCTGCCAGTCTTGAGCTTTTCAAGTTGCTGACCAAGCATTAGGCACTGTCCACAAATCATTAAAGATCTATAAATGAAACTATATCTCCTCCCTTATAAACCAAAGCTCAGCCTGTATTTTCTTTTGCTAAAGATATTTTTAATTAAAAAAATTTTTTTGTTGTGGTAAAATATACATAAATTTACCATTTTAACTGATTAACCAACTAACCACCACTGTGCCAAGTTCAGCAGCATGAAGTAGATTCACACTGTTGTACAACCACCACTACCGCCCATCTCCAGAACCTTTGCATCACCCCAAAATGAAACTCTGAATTCATCTTAAGCAGGGAGTGTAGCTCAGTGGTAGAAGGCATGCTTAGCACATTTCATGGCCTTGGGTTCCATTCCAGACACCAAAAAAAAGGAAAAAAAAAAACCTAATAACTATTTTTCCACCCTCTACCCCCAATGACCACAT